CCCCGATAACGATAATGATCACCCATAGAAATCAACTTTTCACTCGTGCATGTTTCTTCATCGATGCATTCAGAAACTGAATTTTCATTGGAGAGCATCTGCCAAAGATATTGTTGACTATTTTTGAATATAATACGAATGAATTTACGACCATTATCTTCACCCATTTGTTCGAATAAGGTCTTAAAGTATGGCATTGCTTCGACTAAATTCGGAAATTCTCTGCTGATTCCACTTGGTAATGGATATTGACGCGCTTGCTCACAATAAAATTCTGCTTCAGCTATATGACCAGATTGAATTGCAGCAATAGCTAAGAGAGTATAGATAATAGCAAGAAAGTTTTTATTATCGACAAAATATGGATTTTTCAGTGATTTCATCCAGCATTCGATGGCTTCAGAATGTTTGTCATTTTGCATTAGATAATACCCATACATCAGATTTAAACTAGCAAACATTCGATGGGTTGATGGATAGTAAGATTCGATGTAGTTCATTGCTTTTTCCATCACATCTAACGCTTTAGACATATTGTTCAATTTAAAATATGCCGAGGCCATTTGAATATAAATCATTCCATTGAAAATAGTTTCCATCGACGGTGGAATATGAGAGACTATTTCTAATGCTTCCTCCCAACGATTGAGTGCATCAATAGTGTTTTGTTGTTGCAAACAAATATAACCTAAAGTGGATAGACGTAATTTTTCTTGGATTTCACTATCAGTATGTTCTTGATTGATCAATGGCTTTAACCTATTCACTGTTTGATTGGCATTATGCGATTCTGGATGAGAAGAAACAATAAACGTGGCAAGCCATGGTGGCATCGATGATTGAAACAATTCGAAAGCATAATCAAACGATTCCATTGCCATTACTTTTTTATTTGCCAATTCATAATTAAATCCTAACATCATATGTATAAATGCTTTGAATTTATCATTAATCCAATCATATTTAGAGAGCGTTTGAAAATATCGAATGCTTTTATCAAAGTCATTTGTGAAAGATAAAAATCCACCAAGGCGAAGTAACGATGTTAGATCTTTATCGTCAGATGACAACTGTTCATGAAGATTTTTCCTTTTGGAAGAAAGAAAATTGTTAAGCATATCGAATAGAAGACAGATAGATGTTTCATTCGGACGAACATCATCTGTATCGGTTTTCATCACCAGCTCGTGTAAAGCAGGCTCTTTATCGATCAATTCTTTCATACAACCTTGTTTTTCATAAGTACTGATAATAAACAATTGTATTAGATCTGTAAGAAAGAATTTCATCAGTTCTGTGAATGGTCGAGCATGCCTTTGGGAAGTATTAGTGAAAAGTTGTTTGAATTGAATAAAGGAAATTTGTTTACCACATACTTGATAGAGATAAGATTGAACTTCATCCATCAATTTTTGCACATTTTTATCTTCGTCAAAGCTGGATAATTCCAACTTGACAATTTTATGTTGTATCTGATCTTCAACAGAGATAACCTTAAATATCGATGACATACCAAAAAGAACTTCATCTTCGCCTTCAAACTGACTAAATTGACGAATATGAGCAAATGGTGGATAGTATTTGTTATTTTTGATATCATTAACTGTAATTTCGAAAATTACAGATGTATTTTTATCACCACCAGAAACATACATATTGGCGACCTCACGATTAGTACTAGTGGATAAAAATGTATTCATCGATATAAGATGACCAACATTCGCACAAATTTTTTCGATGTCATCTCTCCCCCATGTTGTTTGTCCACGATAAACAGTCAGAGGTAGTAGTGTTCCATCATTTATTTGTTGACAATGTAATTGTTTCAATTGAGCATCGAGATCTTTGACAAATGAATGAAACTCGATTATTGCATCACTATCCAACATTCGACAAGCTTTATTAAATGCCCGATAGACAAATGAATCACGCGAATACCACTGGATAGCTGTATCAGGTGTATATGTTTCTTGAAATATACTGATGTCATTTGGAATCAATTGAATAGAATTTTTTCCATCATAGTCATTGACTAGATGACAACCTCGAATAACATCTTGTGTAGGCGTGGGAGAACGAGGAGTGTCAAGAAGTACCTGAAGCATGAATTGATGCCACAAAAATGCTTTATTATCGTCATTCAGATCGCGTACAGAGTTTTGTATGGAATTGGTACTGAATAGAGTGAATGGTATATCACTCGAGAAATGGAGATTTGATGTTGTCATCATCGTCGACGTCTTCTCGGGTTTTAATATCTTATATATATTCTCGTCGAAAGAAGAAACTTTAGTGGGCGTTTTTTTCTTTTTCTTCATCTTGACGTATGACGAGAGATAAGAACGATAAAAGAATTTTTCTTCGAAAAGATTATTTGTCTTCCTAGCTATATCAGAGAATGAAGAACATACAGCGTATCTGAGCCAAGGGTGTGGGTGTGAGTGGATGTGGGTGTGGGTGAAGATATTTGATGTAAGGGCCATCCACACCCCACATCCACATCTACACCCACATCAACACCCCACACCCACATCCACACCCCACACCCACACTCACACCCACACACCCACATCTACACCCACAGCCACCCCACCCTTCAGCATCTACTGAAATTGGATGCCATAGTTTCCCCCTTAATTAATACGCTTACTGCCTCAGCATTTTTGTTGCTTATTTCTTTCTTTTCTCGTGGCTTTTTATCAACAAACTCCGACGTCGCCACATAATATGTGCGTGTGTCACTATTAGTATCCGCACTGTAGAGAAAAAGTATGTATGCATTTTCTTTTTCTCTTTTCTTCATCTTCGATAATGCAACGAATGAAAATATGTTACCCGTCCGTGCTGACGTCCTGTTCGTTGCATTAGCAATGACGAGAAAAACAGAAAAAGAAAATGCATACATGTTTTTTTTCTATGCAATGTGGATAAGAACAGCGGCCCACACATATACTATATGATGATGTCGAAGTTTGTTGATAAAAGGCTACGAGAAAAAAAGACATAAACAACAAAGAAACCGATACAGTAAGCGTATTAATTCTTGTATTGTTCGTGTGAGAAACGTTCTGAAACTTCTACGTATGAAAAATGATGAAAATCGAAAATTTCTACCGTAAACACCATCAAGTATTTTCTCTTTTTGATCAACCACAATCTCAAACGCGTCAACGTTGGCACAGTGACACTAAACCAGCTAGTGCACGCGTATTGTGACACTATTATCTGTTTGAGAGTAGTGCAAGGACAACAACTGGAAACGTGTTACACTCGATTTCAAGAGAATTCTCGCGGGAAACATCGACCATTGAGCTACAGAGCATTTTCGGGGTCATTCTTTCTTGTTTTTGTGTACTCAAAAAGTGAGTACACTACTAAAATCGGTCAGTGTGTCCGTCCGTCCGTCCGTCCGTCCGTTTATCCGATAACTTTCGAAAGGAGAGTCGGATCGTGATGAAATTTTCTACACAGTTCAGTCTTAACAATGTCTCGGTCGAGTTCGAAGATGAGCAGGATCCATCAAGAAATGGCTGAGTTATCGAAAAAATTNGAAGGGTTTCAAAAGAAGTTTCTTTTGCAGATCGACAGAGGACATTTCAA